GCTGGAGGTACTCGTTGATCTTCTCATTACAACTCTATAAAGAGTTTGATTGATATGTATGCTGCAACTTGCAAGGTGCTTGATTATCTTAGTGGTCATTCTCCAAATGTAAGAACTCGGTCTGAAGTGGGTGGTATATACAAAAAATTGACAACATTTGAATTTGTATTTGTTTTGCATTTAATGCACAGAATGTTGGTAATCACAAATGTGGTTGGTAATCACAGATGTGCTTTGTCAAGCCCTTCAGAAAAAATTTGAAGACATCTTAACTGTTATGAGATTTGTCCATACTACAAAAATCATCATTCAAGAATTGAGAGAAGATAGCTGGGAAGAATTTCTTCAAGAGGTGAATTGTTTTTGTTCAAAAAATGATATACATATACCTGACTTTCATAGCTCATACATGGTTGGTCATTCTCATGGTCGTGAGTATCCTACCATCAAACATCATTACCACTTCAATATTTTTAATGCAGCCATAGATTTTCTAATGATGAAGTTAGATACAAGATTTAATGAGACATCATTAGAACTCCTTTCTCTCGGTGTGGCATTGGATCCGAAAAATTCTTTTGAATCATTTAACATGGATAATATTTGCAAGCTTGCAGAGAAATTTTATCCTCAAGATTTTACACAGCAAGATATTTATAATTTGAAAGTTGAGTTGCAACATTATCGGCATGATGTGATTTCTGAGCCTCGATTTCAAGTATCTACGCTTTTTGATTTATGTCAAGAATTGGTTGCAAATAGAAGATCGGAGAGTTACATCAATTTGACTAAATTGATTCGTCTAGTATTGACACTTCCTGTTTCAACGACTACCGTAGAGCGAGCATTTTCTGCAATGAAACGTGTGAAGATGGAAATTCGTAACAAAATGGAAGATGGTTTTCTTGCTGATTGTATGACACTTTACATTGAACGAGAATTTTCTTTGAATTTAAATTTAGATTCTATTATTGATGAATTTTATGCTATAAAGCATCGTCAAGTACAACTGTAACTGATAATATTATATTATGACTTTTTTTGTTATTTATGAATTTTATTCGTACATTAAATTTCTAAAGTTTTGCCCCCCGGTAACATTAATTCCTGGCTCCGTTCCTGCTTTAGTACGTACCTCATTTGAACTAAGTAGTCGATCAAGTCCCCCACAAAGTCATAGGACAACAGCACCACCGTGTAAACTAGTATAAAGCTTATTCGACAACTTGATGGGTCGATGGCATAAATATCCTTTTTTAATATTCCCACATGTGACTAATGTAACACACCGTGATTCGGCAGCAATTCATCTTTTTGCACCTTAGCTTTAGGAACAGATAGGGCGTATGACGATATGCATTAGATAGTTGTGATTCTGTGATGTTTTACCTGACAAATCACAACGAAATTACAAGTTAAAACACTATAAATCGAAATAAAGTACAAGAAATTGAAGCAAGTAAATAAGCCATTGAAAATTCCAATCGAGCTCGGTTTTGGTGGTGTGATTAGGGGCTTAGTTGATGGCCGTCTCCACAAAGGCAACACCACAAATTGGACTAGAAACCAAGTCCAAAAGAACCCACAAGAGGCACCACATAGCATGAAGAAGAAGCCACTCAAATGGAGCAAAGTACTCCGTCACCAAGAACCCAAGGGAAGGCACGTTTTAGGCTAAAGGAAGAGAACAGCCGCTTTTCACAGTAAAAGCCAAGAGGAGCCGTGTGTAGCATGTATTAGGTCGACAAAAGTGAGCCACTTAAATAGTACGCAACTAGGTCAATACAAAGTAATCTGTGTAGTCTTAAAATAAATCACCGAGCAATTGGGTCGAACGTGTTTAACCTCCAAGTGATTTATTTAACGGTCTATAAACTATCTTTGCAATTGGGCTACCTATTTGTGAAGAGGGGCTATTTCATTCAATCTTCACTACTCGACTTTAAAAAAGCCTATAAAGTGAAATTCCGATCAGTTTTATCATCAAATCCCCTAAGGTTTGTTAGGGACCAAATTTTCCATTGTACCTAACATCCCTCAATATATGCGCAAAGCCACGATCATATTTAACAATCACATCACCAACACCACTGATATTTTATGAGACCATCCTATGCAACAACATGTCCATGATCAGATTCATATAAGTGATCAAACAAATGTTTTATTAGATGTGAATGGAAAGATGAAGCCAAAGGTGCCAGCATGTGAAGGTGAACAATGTGTTCCATGGGATTTGATTGGTGTGCGCTGTCTGATTGAGACGGTTTTGAGCCAAGTGAGGATATCCTCTGGGGGTTGTTGGGTGAAATTGTGGAGTCAAGAATCCGTTCGTCAATATGGGAATTCATAGATAGATTAATCTCACTAAGCTCGGAATTTAGAAGCATGTATTGGGTGTCACTACATTTCCCTCGCCTTGATCTTTTCATCTCTGGTCTCTTTGTTTATTTTTCTCATTATAAAAGTCACTAATGAAGTGTCCGATTTTCCCAAAACAGTAACGCTTCCTCTCCTTTGTCTTCCCCTATGATTTAGACCAACTTCTACCCTTGTTTTTGTCACCATTGTTTTACCTACTTCCACGTCCACCCCTCAATGAAGGTCTACCTCTCATTAAGTGAATCTCCCCATTTTTTCTCTCAACACTATCATCTTTTATCTTTCCTTACTCTTCAGGGAATCAATCACAATATCAAGTGTAAGTGTCTCCTTCTCTTATTTGATTGCATTCTTGACTTCTTTTCATATATCACAAATGATATTCAATTGTGTGCTATATACTCTTCATATACTTTTTCACCACACTTTATAATGTCTTGAACAAGTTTGTTAAAAACGTCAAGATTGTCATCGAATTCTTTAGAGAGATCAATTTTAAAGCAAAAAAAAAAAAATTAATCAAGAAAAGTTTATTTGGAGTGGATAATTTTAAATAAAGTTCGTCTAATTTTTTCCAAAGTTTTCTGTGGAACCAATTTTTTTGCAAAAACGATCAGATAAATGCAAGATGATAAAAGTATGTGCCAGTTTATCATCTTTTTTTTTTCAGTTCCTCATCGGACTGAGTTCCTAAATCTATCTCATTAATTTCATCGGATTCGAATCGCCAACCCTCATTATGACTTACCACCTCATGATTAAATTTACTAGAGCTGATGAGTCAACGTGTGGCACTTCATACCACCCTTATGAAAAATGATAAATGCAAAAATAAAATAAAAGAAAAAAGAAAAAAGAAAAGAAAAGAACAGAACAGAACAGAAAAGGTTTGAAGTAAATCAAATAGACTATATGAACAAGCTTAGAAATGACAGGACGATATCTGTAAACCTATTCAATCTTGTTGACATCCCTCTCAAATTGATGAATCAGCAACGATAACAATAATTGTCCCATGAAGAAGAAATTTAAATCTCAACAACCTCTATAAAAATTAGTGACGACAAGAGATCAAGAACAACAAATAATGCAGAAACAATCAAGAACTACTCCAAAACCACTTCAAGAACACTCCAAAGAGCTCACACACCAAGAATTTCCAAAAAAAACTCGCAAAGTGTGCCGACAAACATAGTAAGCTCCATCTATTAGGAAAATCAGTTGAACACATAACCCGCGTTCCGAGAAAAGTTCTATTAGTCAATGCACCGACCAAAAATCCAGCAATATATTGCTAGCAGAGATGCTGCAATTGGAAGAAATCTCACCGAACAGCCTACACCAAAAACTCAAAGAGGATCATCCTTTGAGAATCCAAAAAACTCTAACTCATCATCTGAGCAACCAAAATCTAACGATCTGCACTACCGTGTCTCTCTCATCCCTCTGTATTTTGTTGCCACCATACTTACGAAGCAACATAGAAAGGGAAAAAAATTAGTCAAAGTCCAATCAGTACCCAATCTTGACAAAGCTCACTGTGTCGAACAATAACAAGCCTTAAATTTTGAAATAATCCAACATACTAACAAGCTTAAACCAACAAAGGAGCATGTCTACTGGAATTAACTTAACCCAAACCAGAAAAAATGTTAAGAGAACAATACATAAATCAGGAGTTTAAGAAACAAACTTTAAAAATTCAAAACTCGGGCGATAATTAATGAATATTATATATAAAATAAACTCTAATAAATATACATCCTAAAATAACCCTTTCAGTTTTCATTCTTAATAGTATTCTCCAAAATAACAAATTGTGAAGACTAAGGAAAATAGAAAAATAGAACACCATAGAGACCCTTCCAGAGCAAATACTCTCCATTACCTCCATTAGAATCTGATTGTTTGAAAATCATGAGACTATGAAGTCACAAATTGAATGCTATCGGAAGATCAAACAAAAACAGAATTTACAAAGAACTTATCAAAGCAAATAACTTTAATTTTTACCATCAAAATTTGATTAATTGAAATTTGTCGGACGATTGAGGTCAAAAATTGAAGTTGTAGGCATTGTGTATTAGAAGATTGAATAAAGAAGGAATCTATAGAAAACTCTTTGAGCAAATAACTTTGATTCTTATCGTTGAAATCTGATTAATCGAAACGTGTCAGATGATTGAGTTCACAAATTGAAAGTTGTTGAACTGTGTATTAGAAATTTTGAAGGCAACAATCACAAACTTAAGTTAGAGAAATCAATGGTCCATGACCAGTTCTATTTGAAATGTGACATGTGGACATTGATCTATTACCTCTACAATATGACGTGTGGTATGTTACCTATAACGTACGAACTGTTACTTATGAATTTGAATATGTGACCCATGAATTATGACCTAGGAAATGTAAACATGATCTGTGACCTATAGACATTTATTTGTGTCCTATGCACAATATGATATGTGATATGTAAACATTAATCTATTATGTATACAATATGACCTATAACCTGTGAATTGTGACCTGTAAACTAGAATCTGTGACATGTTATTAGTGCACAGAGGCGTGATATATCATTTATGACCAGTTAATTTTGACATGTGACCTATACAATATGACATGTGACTTGTGAAGTATGACATGTGACCTGTAATTATGATATGTGACCAGATCTATTTGATTTGTGACTTATACATAATGACCCATGACCTATAACCCATATCCCTAAAATAGCTAGACCCATATCAATTGAACCACTACCAATACCAGATGCTCCTCCACCTCCACCTCCACCTCCACCTCCACTACTAAATTTTTTATTCTTTAGAAAATGTTTTTCCTTCTACACACACTAACACACAAACAAACATTTATTTAAGAACAAATAGACAAGTACAAACACGTAACCTCTACCAACAAGCACCACGTTAACCACTAATCACAATCACTGTAACTATTTCGTCGACATTGCTTCCATCGCCGCCACCAACTACACTATTCCCACCACCTTCTTGGCCTCCCATCCCTAAACATCTCCAATACCACGCACCAATTGCCGCCAAAGCAGTAGCAACACCACCCACTGAAGACAGGAATTCCATTTCAGATCTAATTTTGAAAACCAAGTTCGATTTCCTTGGGATTCTAGATTTTTTTTTTTTTTTTTTGCAGTTTAATTTTCAATTGATTTTTGTAGTAGGTGTGAGATTTTTGAAATTAGGTGGTGATGTGTTGTAAAGAGAAATACGAGGGGAATGTAGAGTTATAGAGAAGGGAATTGATTTTCAGAAACTGTGTTGTAAAGAGAAAAAAGAGAATCATGGGTATTCAATATCATCATTGAAACATTACCATGCATTTGAATTATATGAATATTCTTCATATATTCCAATTGTTCTTGCATGTCCAAACAACCGCCACGATTGGCTTCTACCCATTTAATCCACTTTATACTTAGTGTATATCATCCTTATAATTAGTATAAGGGCTTTCTATCTTTTTACCTTTATAGATATCTTTCTATGATTATAAGATAAAAGCAAATGTAACTGTTAAATTGAGTTACCCTTACAATTTCTCAATTAAGAATACATATGCAATCTAATAATGTTGCATCCACAAGTTTTGAACTTTGCATTTCAAGTTCACAAGCATTAAATTTAACCCCCCCCCCCCCTACATTTTTGGGTTATACTTGAACTTAGAGTTCATCAACTCTTTCATAGTTCAATTCCTAATATTCATATCGAGTGCTTTGTGAAAGTCTATATACTTTCAAAGTAGTGGTCGTCAACTTGCATATAACATACTTCAATTTAATTAATTTTGATCATCCGAATTAAATCAAGGTCATCATACAGACCTGCAATACTTTCAAAACATATGCCAACTTAATTGGTTTCATGATTGAAATCAAATTCAACAATAAAGAGGGCTAAGCATTGCAAGATATGCAACTTATCACATTTGTGACATTTCACATGATAGTTTTATTTTATGTCAAATAATTAGGTACATATTCACCTTATTCATCATATTCAAACTTGAACGAACGAATTAACCATAAGTTGAAAAGTTGTGTTCTCAAGAGACACAATCTTATAAAAGGACATACCTCTTGAAATAATCTCTATGAAGAGACATACCCGTTGGAAAATAATTATATCAAAAGTCATGATTTTTCATATGAAATGATGTACCTTTTCATCTAAATTGATCATAGAATATTTCAAATAATTAAGTGGCTTAGTTCTCATAACTAAATAATTATATCCACTTAAATCATCTCACTTAATTTCATAGGGTTAAATGAGGCTATCAAAATTAATCAAAGTTAGTATAATTCCAACAAGTTATGAAAATTTAACCAACTAGACCATTTTAACCAAAAAGGTCTATCCAAAATCCAAACGCTTGTATGGATTCATCAAATGAATACACTAATCCGCTTCACATGATTATCATATAGATACCCAACAAAGTTGCCTACTTAAAATAAATGCATACTCATGCCATTACCGTTATGGACATATTTATCAGTTAAAATATGCTTTCTCATGCTAGTAATATATTCAAACGCATAATGATTTGTCATAGTGAGAGAACAAAAGTTATTGGGATGACATACGTATAAACTAAAAGTAAGGAATTCTGCACAAACTATAAATTTCAGCATTACTAGATTTTGACAAAGCTAAAGCCAACATGCTTTGAACAATTAAAATTATCCCAACATGCATCTTTCGCAGATTTAGTAAATTTATTTCTTGATAACTTTGAATTGAGGCAATTTAAACATGAAGGAACACAATGGTTAGCACATAAAATTCACAATGTTCATGTGCAATTTGACTTTACAAATCAGTTTACATTTATATACTAGCTGGACAGATATTTCATGCTACACAATTCAAACCGGTCAGGAATTAAAAACTATTTTTAATTTGGAAAGATACGTTTTTCCATATAGCATGCATACTATTTGTTTACAAACAGTTAACAAGATTTTACCAACCTTCCCAATCAAAATTCCTTAGGCGACTTCTGACACAAATTATATTTTAATATAGATACACTTTGAATTAAAAGAGTGCCAACAAATAAACTCATAGATGAGACTACCAACAAATACAATACACAAACATGTATACATCGGTTCATGAATATCATATGTATTATGAATTTCACAACTAATTATCATATAATCTAGTGCACCAATTTGAGATTTTCCACTCTCATCTCTAAATTTTAGAATTTGTTCTAATGGGTCAAAACCAAAATCTACATTATATGGTGCAAGATTGAATAATATCATATTGCTTGTCCACAAATCAACTTGAAATATATTGTAATGAATTCAACATATAAATGAATGGTTCCAAGTTATAGAATCACTATCGATTCTGTTATAATATACAGATTCATTACACATGAATTTCTCTAATTAACATGTTGAAATTGAACACATTTACCAGAATCATGATAAGTCAAAATTCTATCTTATGATTTTATTCATGCAGTATCTTGATTTCAATTGCAAATAAAATATAATATGCATAAGAAAATTCATCGTAAGATTGTTGGGGAATACACCGATTATGTGTATATTATATTCACAAAAAATATATCGTTTATGTTCACGAAATCGAAACAAGGTTTCAACTTACCGAAATGGAGTTTGAAAAACTAACTAATGATTATCGAATCTGACCATTTCCATTCTTGAATTAAAACATGTGATTCTTCATATCGAACCTTGCATAAACTATATAAATGAAATTAATCATTTTCTAAAATCAAGTAGAAATGAAATCAGAAAAAATTAGATGTAAGTGATGCGATTGGCCGAGGCGAGTATAACTCTTTCCTTAAGATGAATTTGCCCGCATCGGTGCTAACGATTTTTCGACAATCATCTCCCAAGATACAACGACCATATCAAGCCATAGGAGCACTCCAAATGATTTCGACCAACGAACTCGAAAGGAATTCCCTCTTTACCATAACCATGATTTTAATGCAAAAGATAATTACTTTTACAAAGTGTTTTATGTAACTTAATATGAAATGAATAATATGGAATGAATTGGAATGACAAATACACATCCAAGAGATCCTATATATAGAAGATGAAGGGTTGTGGGTGAAGGGACACACCCCAAATCCAACATTTTTCATGGAAAGTTGCAACACTTCATTTCGAAAAGTTGTAACACTTCATTTTAAACCTGCATCTTTTCGAAAAGTTGCAACACTTCATTCTTCCAACTTTGGACCGCAATTTCTCATTCATCTGGAATTGATTTCGAGATTCCAAATATACCACGACGATCTACTCGACAAGTAGAATAAGTTGATCTATTTACTTTTGTAATTTGACCATCAGATCAAATCCGAACATTCGACCAAAGTTGACACGAAGTCATACCTTTTCATTTTCCCAGTTTTACACTTAACCAATTTTCGGTTAATTTTTGAACCAATTCCAACAATGATTCCTCCGGGTGATGAAAAAAATCTGAGCACCGAAAGCTCGAAAACTCAAAATTAGAGACAAGATGAAATACCCAAGATACGGTGATGGAAACAAACAATGATGATGATCAAACGGCTTAGGACTATTAGGAGGGAAATGGATTTGTTTCTGGATGAGCTTAAGGTGCCACTAACGCCTCCACTGGCTAGAACAGCGGCTGAGAAGCTATCTAAGATGAACAGAGTGAGCGACTTGCATGGCTTCGAAAGCAGTAGTGTTTAGATTCTGCTGCTTCTATTTTTTTTATTTTTTTATTTTTTGGGGAAAATATTGAATGATTGAAGAATAGGATTTGAGGGTATTATGCACCATATGTATTCGAACTTTCCTCAATACGTTAAAAGGAACATGGATTGGAAAAGGAAACATTAACTTAATTTGATGAAGACTCCTCTTCTCGTGAGAAAACCACCCAAGAAAACAAGAGAAAATTTTAAGGAACTAGTTCTGATATCATGTCCAAAATAATTCGTGATACTCATTAAAGCTCAATGTCCCCTCAATGTGAGAGGTTTTATCATTATATAGAACCAAAATCAAATTAAATATGGTAAAAGTAATCTATCTATATATGTTACAATTATAATAATAATATAAACCTCAACTATAATCTTCCACAATCTCCATAATCTTATTCAATCTCATTAACAAGGAATAAAGTGCTTATGACAACCTACTGCTCATATAATGTATTAGTCCTCGTTTGAACCAAGTGAGGTCATCGACCGAGTGTATTGTTGGTTGTAGTATTAGTCCCACTCAAAGTCCTAGGGCAATAGCACCACAATATATGCTAATAATATAAAGCTTGTTCGCCTCCTGAAGCATAGTCCAGTGGTGCAAAGGACAGGAGTAAGGTTATCTCATACCTTGCTGACAGCCGCAGTGTGGGGGTTCGATTCTTGAGACATGGAATTGGACTTCTTGTAAGCGCAGTGTACAGGCAGCTCTTGTTCCCTGGCCTGTTAGGGTACATCCCGCGATTTACCTCCCTCACAAATCTCTAGGAGCGAGGCGGTGGTAACCCTCAAAGTTGGAATTCAACCTTTTTTTTAATATAAAGCTTGTTATGATAACTTGTGTTTCTAGCATAGACTAAAATAAACACATTTGAATATTCTCCATGTGACTATTGTCACAAATACATCATGATTGGGCAATGTGTCCACATTTTGGGCCTAATTTTCATGAACGTATGTACGCACTATACAGTTGTCATGCCAAGTAAACCATTTAAGCCTCCATAAGGTAGAAAGTGACTCGTATCATTTTCACAATCATACAATACAAATATCTACACTAGTGTTGGCTCGTTACAAATGGAGAGAGGAAAACATGTATAAAAGAGTGCACAATAATAATCGAATCGATACATGCCATCTCCGTGAAGTTGTTCCCCACTAGAATTTTGAAACCTCGCCAAAATTTTAAGGGTTCTCGACACCTTACAATTGCTACGGGGTAGTAAATTAAGAAGATAACAATGTTATCCAATACCATTAGTGCTAAAATACCAACGGCATATAGATAGCAATAACTGATAAGTCCAATTAAGGAGAAGGTTGAAGAGAATTAATTGACTTCAGTTGGTGAATTTTCTTGGAAACAAAATCAAGATATATCAATAATTTGTTTTCATACTAGGATGTCTGAAATCATAGCACATCAAAAAGCCCAATACAACAATACAAAAACCCTAAAAATATAGTAATTGAAATTGGCAATCTGAAGGTTTTACGTTAAGATTCAAGCATTACATACCTTGTTCACAGGTTTGGGGGGAAAAAGAAAAAAGAAAAAAGAAAAACACAGAAAACAACGTTTGCATACGAGTGAACAAATTAACAAATTTCAAAAGCTAATTAGACTAAGATTTCGTCATCACAGAAAAACAATTTGCCATGAGACATTATTACATTGCAGGGAACGATGGATTCATTAAACTCGAACCTATGAATCCGTTGGAGAGGCTAGCCCCATCGAGTATCTTGCTACTATCTGCCCGTGGGCTACTCCCTGCACTGCTGTTGGATAGGGAACCATATGCACCCGTCTGTAAAACCCCGGTGGGAGATGATGCCAGGAAGGGGCTACTATTCCAGCCCTCCTTCATCAGGCCCAGCGCCTTGGCGTTCTTACCATCAGTTGTGCTGTTATTGGTGCTGTGTAAAACCTCACCCAGAGGTCCACCCTCAGAATGCTCCCATGAAATGGGAAACCAATTTGTTTGTCTTTGGCTCTGTTCACTTACGATGGTTCCTACTCCCAATCCCATTTGGGTTGCCTCAAGTTCTCGGGATAATCTCAGTGGAGACGCTGTAAGCTTTTCATTTGTAGGAGATGAGGTAGAAGACATAAAGTCTGATGTGACCACAGGGGTGGAAATTGAAAGCTGTGTCCTGTCTGACTGCATATCAACATCAGGCCATGAAATGGTCGAGCATTCTGATGGGTTTTTGGGCCATTCGTCCATGAACTGGCGAAGTGGATGCTGTGATTTGCTTTCGTGATCATTGAGATTGCTGTTCAGAAACGAAGAACTTCTATTCAAAGGATTGAGCAAAGAATCAGAGCATACTAATCCAAACTCGGAGCAAGAAGATTCTGCATATGCATTCTGTTGTTTGGGGACAGAATATTGGCTATCTTTCAGACTTGTGTTTGACGATAACATCGAGATTGTTGTGCCTTGATATCCCTCGTCCGCATTTTCCTTTCTGGTAAAACTCCTGTTAAAATTTAACAATTCAATGTTTATTAGGCCAGGGGAAGCAGAAAGGGTTTGAAATGACATTTATATAACATATAAAAGGGAAAAACCATATGGGACCACTAGTTGCCTAAGAATTTGCAATTTCTCCTCGTCTTATCACACCTTTCTCAACTTGATATAAACATGTTACTTGAAGCAGAGAGCAATAACCTTTAAAAAGACTTGTAGCACGTTTGAGTCACTTTTTTTGTTCAAAATGTCTTCTGAAATAATATTTTGACGGAAATGTGATTAAAAGATAAGAAAAAATTTTGAATTTGCGTCTAATATTATTATATTATTTTATTGAAGAATGTGCGATTAAAAATAAGAGAAAAATATATAAATATATTTTGAAAATAATAAGAACCAAACAAGGGTTTGAATTGAAAAATTCAATCAATAATTTGACATGAAAGCCTAAAACTTTTTATTGAAGGTTAGAAATCAGAATGTGAATAAATGTAATGATTGGGACTTAGTCTTTAGGGTGTCCATTAATCTACCTGTTAATATTTTGGGTCACAGACAAAGGATTTTTAGAACCAGACTGCAAGTTGTTGAGTTGACAATGATGTGAAAGTGCAAGATTGTTAGATGCACCAGCTCCGGGCACCACAGATGCTGAAGTGGAGGAAGCCATTGGCATTGGCCTGGTGGTAGTCGTGTTGGTTCCGGTAACGGAATGGCCAGATTGGCCTTCCACAGGCTTTCTTGAACGGTGACGGCCTCTGTTCATATGCCGCTCACAATATTTCTGGTCGGCAACTGCTTCCCTTGAGCATCGCCATTTCTTCCCATCAGTCCTTCGACACCTTCCTGGTTCAGGATCAGTTTTGGAAAATCCCAGATGGAAAGTGCCCCATCCCGCTGCTCAACATAGATCCAAAGAATTGAAATCAAGTCATGAATCAAAATATACAGAAGAAAATAAACGAAATCTAGCGCTATTACAAAGACAAATAAAATGAATGTAAAAAGCTCGACTAGGAAAGATATTCCTACAACTTTCAGTCGATACAATTTTTTGTGCATAACATAAGATGTACTTGAGTTTCATACGCAAAAAATCAATACTGATAAAAATAAGATTCAGTTTTGCAAACATGAGAGCAATCTGTGACTCTAACAGGCAGAAAGGATAACATGTTGAAGTAGAAAAGAAACTCACAAGCATTGGGTCTCAGGCCAGAAAAGCTCGAGAAACCAGCAGACTCGAGGGCATTTCTAATGGGATTGAGAAGATAAGAAGGAATGGGCACATTTGCAATGATATACTTGTAGATCAAAGCCTGGTGTTCGAGCTCCATCCACTGTGATGGAGTAAAAGGCCCTCTAACCCCTGATAGCACCCCTTGCATGTTAGCAGCATTTATACCTCCGGACCCATATCCTGAAACAGGAAGATGAAAACATTCAGGTAAAAACACAGCCAAAATACATCGTCTTAACGTTTGAGACCAGTGAAGAAATCTAATCTTTTCTTGCTCTCCTATCCACCAAAAATTAAATATTTTTTGTCTTCTTTTTGTTCTTTTAACACCCTCACAAAATTAAACCGCTTGGATTCAAGATTATCATAACTGATTTTCTCAAGAACTAAATCTTAGGTCATACAGAGAGGTAAAAACAAAGTCTTTTTTCTCTTTTATGTTTAGGATAAGGCTTAAAAAAGGGCCAACACGTTCACATAAGAAGACTATCCGAACAGAAGAGCAAATCAAAACCCACTTCTGCAATCTATTACTAGTCATTAACATAAACCTCATCCCCATAAAAGTGCTCAGACACCCAATNTTGAGTGAATTTTTGATGTTTGTCAAGGGAAAGTATTGGAGAGATTAGAAGGGGGAGGGAGAGAAGTGAGCTGCGGTGGATATCGTCTGCGAGGTCTGTGACAAAGTACTAGCGTGTATACTCCTATATATTATGGCCAAAACTTGGAAGTAAATTGACTAGACTACTAGGGTTACGATGATATTTAGCCATCGTTTGAAATTTATATTTTGAAATCTTTTTTTTTTTTTTTTAATGTATGATCAAAAACAGGGAAAATATTAAAAGTAAACATCAAAAATGATTTTTTAAAAAATATATGATTTAAAATTGAGTGTATAGAAAAATTATATTTCAGAAAATCAATTTCAAACAAGGACTTAACCCATATTTGACATCATTTATTTTAAAACTCTTTTTTTTTTAAATGTTCATTCTCAACCGCACATTCACACAATAAAATATTTTTCACATAAATTCACTTTTGTTTCTTAATTTTTAACCAAGTATTTTTTTTTTAATTACTATTCAAAACTTTATTTTTGTCAAGTAATGGCCACCAAACAGGGTTAATTGTTATTTTCATTCAAACAGTTTTTAGATATTTATACCCAGTTTGTTTCTTATTTTTTGATCAAAAAAATGAAAAATATGATTATTACCCATTTCGTTAAGTCACCGTATTTGACTTTCTCTCTCTTGTGTGAATCTCGACTATATTTTCTATTTTCATTTTTATAAGAATAATAATCAAACAGAGGCTTAATTATGTGAAGCTATAAGATTTTATTCCAGTTCACGTCTTAAATGATCTTCAATGCCCAATGTTAATTGTTGTACGTACATTAAAATGTGAATGAGAGAATAACATCTTCAATTAAATTGTGAATTACATTAATTGTTTGTCACATGTACCAAAAAGATGATATAAAGAAAGGATAAAGATAAATTATGAAAAACCAAACAGGCGCATCCTCTAATGAAAAATAAATTATATTATAAAATTTATGTATACGATGTCTAACAACCCTTCCACGAGTGGATGATATGCTAGACATCCTCTATCTTATTTTCTTATCATGTAAGCGTTTGGAGTAATATAATTTATTTTGATGCAATCAACTGTCCCATTAGAGATGCTCTTATGCGGCTTATATATTAAAATGAATATTGATGTCTAGCACTACTTTTGTTAAAACACGAGTTTAAGCAGCACTAAGTAATAAGCTCAATAAAATGTAGAATTAAATTATTTATTTATTTAATTATATATCTCTTATTTAATATCACATTAGTGTCACTGATATTTTAATATCAGTAGTGTTAAAGAGTATTACTCTATTAAATTTAGATATTTATCTTAAAATATTAACTTTGATAAGAGGAATAGTTAGAATTCTTAAATGTTAATTATTATTTCATTATTGAACTTATATGGGCTAATATCTTTAACATATTCGGCAAGATAGTGATTTGTGTGAAAACATCAATGTTGAAATTTGATTGCTTTTTTTTCATTTTTAAACGTATGTATTGCTCGTTTGAGTGTTTTAAACACTAATGACATATTAAGACTTGAGGTTTTTTCCTTAAAAAGTCAATGATGTTAAAGAGTTGCGCAACTTCTTAGATGTTGGTTAATTTTTTTCAAATTTAGCCATTGTGAGATTATATCCTTAACGTCATCACATAGAGAACAACGAAAAGTCTAGTTTTTAATTACTTTAATTTTAGGTAATTGAAGAAATGTACTGGTACAAATTATGAAAGTACAATTTTTACAAATTTAAGTATCATTTTATTTTCACAAAAATAAAAAAATGTAGCATTTTTCGGTGACCTGAAATTTTATAAATTCACTAATCAATTATTTAGAATTGACAAATAGACCACAGAACTGTAAGGTAACATTTAAATCTTTATTTTCACATGATTGTGAAAATAAAAATCAGAAAAACCAATCAAATGGAATTTTATTTTGAAAGGTCTTTTTTTTCAATATTGGGGTTTTGAAATATGCATTAACAATTTTATTTGATATTTCTTGAGGTGCAAAAGGTCAATTATACGTACAATATAAAAATTCCCTATACAATTTCACACTACTAGATTGGATTGAATTTATATGAACCCTACATACAAATGGATAAAGCTACTTTGTCAAAATAATTTAACAAAAAGTTTGACATAATTACATGTGTCAATAGATAAATTGGGTGAAAATGCTGACTGTGTAGAATAACACGTGATATTATGTCAAATTTTATGTCAATATTGATGTTTGTGTCGCATGATTGATATAAACATACAAATCATGCTACCCTAATATAATCTTTGACATAATACAACATAATATTATATTATTGGATTG